GCAGCGTGATCTGGTACAAAAGGTGAAGTTGACCACTTAGCTGTGAAAGGAGCAAATATCGCGGAGAATGTTCTTACACGTGTAACCGCAAACTGCCTGGAACAGGAAGGCTATTGCTATGCAGAGCAAACAGTTTTTTAAAGGAAAGGTTGAAAGCGAGTTGAAACTTGCTTTGTGCTTTTCCAGCACAATTTGGGGAAGCAAAAGTCGAACCTCACGTGTCAAACAATCTACAAAATCTTCCTTGCGTTTTACACATGCTGAGGACTCTGTGACTCCCATGGGGTTGGAGACCACTCTCTCAGGTACCTGAGTAAAGAGCTAAGGTGAATCTGTGCATGGTTGGTTTTTTATTTTATTTCCACAGGACCTGCCTTTGTTTCTGGAGCTGCAAATTCATACCCTCCAACATTACTCCAGTGAAAATAGGGATGTCCTATTCCATGATGATTTTATTATTTCTACCCTGTCCATCTGACAGGGTTGCCCCAGCCACTCTGAGTGGCACCCAACATATATAAAAACATAATACAGTGTTACCTTAGTTTATGAACTTAATCAGTTTCAGAAGTCCGTTCTTAAACCAAAGCGACCTTAAACCAAGGCGTGCTTCCCCACAGCAGCGGGGGACTCAATTTACAAATGGAACACACTCAACAGGAAGCCAAACATGTTCTGCTTCCAAGGCAAAGTTCACAAACCAAAACGCCTACTTCCGGGTTGGCAGCGTTCTTCATCCAAGTTGTTCATAAACTAAGCTGTTATTAGACCAAGGTACCACTGTAAAACATTAAAAACTTCCCTATACATGGCTGCCTCCAGATGTCATCTAAAGGTTGTATAGTTACAGTCATACCTCGGGTTGAAGTAGTTTCGGGTTGAGTGTTTTCAGGTTGCGCTCCGCAGCGACCCAGAAGTAACAGAATGCGTTACTTCCAGGTTTCATCGCTAGCACATGCACAGACGCTCAAAATGATGTCACGCGCATGCGCAGAAGCGGTGAAAAGCAACCCGCGCACGCACAGACGTGCAGTCGCAGGTTGTGTTTGCTTCAGGATGTGAACGGGGCTCCGGAACGGATCCCGTTCACATCCAGAGTTACCACTGTACTAATCTCCTTGTCTCAGGGGTCACATAACTCCATACCAACCAACATTTCTCCAATGAAAATAGGGACGTCCTAAGGAAAAGTGGGACATTCCAGGATCAAATCAGAAACCAGGATGGCTTCTGTAAATCTGGAAGTGGCCATGGAAAATGGGAACAATTGGAGGTTCGGCAATTAGGTTCGGTGCACCCTTAAATGTGAACTAAACTGGTTTTCCCCCCTCTGTCCCTGCTTGGTTCACAATGGAGTACTGTGGAGTATTTCATCTCTGCTGAAGACCCCGCCACTGCAGCACTTGGAGAGTGTCTGCCGCTGTTGAGGGCCTGTGTGCGTAGATTGTTCCTTTTATGCCAGAACATCCCCATTGTCTCTTTCCAGCAGCAAGGTTGGCCAGCCGCCACCAGTAGCAATTTATGTGCATTTATGGATGGCATCTGTGTCCTTTTGAGAGAAAGAGGAGCTTGGCAAAAGCAGGGAGGGACGTGCCCAGCGATATTTACGATCCCCTCCAGACACAGATGCTTTCTTGGCTTGTCTTGAAGGCAGGCGAGCAAGCGACACATGATTTCATTCCGAGCTGGAAAGGACACCATGGGCTTTTTGTACAAAGGAGGAGGAAGGGGGGGGGCAGACCTATGAAGAAAACAAACTCCCAGACCAGAGGAGGCCTCTCTGTGCCAAGTTTATGCTGCGTCTTCAAAGCAAAACAGCTTCCAGAACTTCCAAAGAGTCTATATGATTTGGAATTTGAACATGCTGGAATAAGGTTTTCCTTTGTTTTTTGCTTTACTGAGCAGAGCCTGGAAGAAGATCCAGGGTTTTGCAAACTGTTCGGAACAAATGAGGCCTTGGATTTGTGGATGGCAGCTGGGGTTGTCACACTTGATCTCGCTACTTCTTGGATGGGTGAACATTGGAGGAAGTTCTCCCACATCACTGGCTTGCCATTAAACCAGTGTGAGGATTACACTGTCTTGGAATGTGCAGCTAGGCTTGTGAGGTGAGGAGCATCTCGGGCCTTGAAGTTTCAGAGCCCAGCCTGAAACCTAGGGGTGGCCCCTGGTGATGTCATGGAGGCAGGCCCTGGAGATGGAGGTTAATTGGGAGAGGAGGAGGTGTTTGCAGCCAGCTCCTGCCAGGAAGACGACTCTCCCAGATCTAGCCCTGGATTTTAAACCCTAATTAAACACATAAAATAATGGGGTGAGGGAGACAATTGAATCCTCTTGGTTGCATTTGGCCCTATCCCTTACTGGGTAATCTGAGGCCAGTCTCTCTCTCTCAGAGCCTAGCCTACCTTTTAGGGTTGTTGTGAGGAGAAAAGGGGAAACCACATACACTGTAAAAAGCAAGTTCTCCTGTGTGTATGAAACCCGTCTCATGGTAGCGAATCCCAGAGTTTAACTCTGTGCTGTATGAATAAGTCATTTCCCTTTTCTGCCCCGAATCTTCTACCAAATGCTTTCATTGGAACATTCTGTGATCTAAATTAAGGATAGCCAATGCGGTGCTCCCCGCAGTCATTGTTGACCTCCAACTCTTATCAGCCCCAGCCAGCATAGCCAATGGTCAGGGAAGACGGGAGCTGTAATCTAACAATATCTGTAGGGCACCCCATTCTAAACTAAACAAACAACAACAACAAAAAACCAACACTGAAGCTTTTCCTTCTAGGGGAGTTGCTCCCTGGTCATTTTGGTTCCCTTTTTATTTACTGGGCGAGGGCAGTTATGTAGTTCAGCCCCATAACCCCCTCACAAATTCATTCAACGCATTAGAGCATTCATGTGAACATCCTGTGTTGTTATGCTGTTCTTGGCAGAGTGCTCAGGGAAGACTAGGAAGGTGAAGAAAGAGTTCAGGCGAGGGGACAGGACCACAGACAGCTCCATATGCAGGAATCATGCTGGAGGGAGGCATCCAAGAGCAGCAGGTAGAATATGTTGCTTCAGCAAAGTTCTGGAGGCCACTTAGGACCATGGACAGCTCCATGCAAAGCAGTGCAGGAGTTGGGCTGGAGGGAGGCAGCCAAGAGCAGCAGACTTAAGATGTTGCTTCAGCAAAGGTTCGAAACCGACTGAGGCAGTAAACAGGCTGCAGGGAGGTCAGGGTTTCTAGCTCCACCTCCAGTGCTGAGGCTAAAAAAGGTAAAATGTAAAGGACCCCTGACAGTTAAGTCTAGTCACAGTCGACTCTGGGGTTGCAGCACTCATCTCACTTTACAGGCCAAGGGAGCCGCCGTTTGTCCACAGACAGTTTTTCTGGGTCACGTGGCCAACATGACTAAGCCGCTTCTGGTGCAATGGAATACTGAAACCAGAGCAGCGCATGGAAACGCCATTTACCTTCCCACCGGAACGGTACCTATTTATCTACTTGCACTATTTATCTACTTGGGAGCTAGTAGCCTATTTATCTACTTGGGAGCTCACTCCGTCATGGGAATTCAAACCGCCTACCTTCTGATCGGCAAGCCCAAGAGACTCAATGGTTTAGACCACAGCACCACCCGAAAGGCTATTGGTTCTTAAATGTGCCCTACTCAGTTCTGGAGGCCTTGGCTCCAATGAGAGGTGGGGGAGAAATTTGATTTAAAGGCAAACCTACGTATTAAAGGCAAACCTACGTATTAAAGGCAAACCTACATATTAAAGGCAAACCTAGCAGACTTGCGGTCTCCAAAATGATTTGCGAACTGAACTCAGCCATCTTTTAAAATTCACACTTCTCTGAATTTTCAATGTAGTTCTACAGCCCAGTGAGGCATACAAAAACAATTCTAGGTTAATGTGTGCATACAAATGCATATGTTGCTGAAAACAACCTACAAAAGTGCATTATATTATATTTAATTTTTCATAAAATTCATACATCACTTTATTGTAAACAACAACAACCTTAAAGTGGTTTGCAAAAGATAAGACAGTAAAATCAAGTACATTTTAAAACATAGAGAAATTAAAATACTAAAGCAGGTTAAAATAGCCTCAACTTTCAAAGCATCTGGGTAGGATTTTCTAAGCAGGAATGATTTTAGCAGGCTCTGAAAAGAGTACAGAGAAGGCTCCTGCTTGATCTCAATGGGCAGGGAGTTCCAAAGAGTAGATGCTGCCACACTAAATGATTGAGTTCTTACAGATGTGGAACGGGTATTATTTTTGCAGCTGCAGGAGCGCCAGTTCTGCCAATCAAAGCAATTGAATGGGCACCCCTTAGTGGAAATCGCTTTGCAAAAATGTGCACTTTAGGCAAAATTGCATCCCAAAATGTTTATATTATGGGGGAAATCTGTCTTAAAAGTGCTGGTGAGTTTTCATGAGGACTTCAAAAATAATAATTTTTGCAAACTGTTGTGGAGGTGTCGAGAGCTCAACTTCAGAATGGAAAACTGGAAAACTGAGCGAAACCTAAATGGACACATTCAGTTCCAATGAAGTGGGGAAGACCACACCTCTTCTGAAAGTTTGGGGCAGAATCTTCAGAGCCTTTTGACAGAGCAACATCCTCAGGTTGTATGGATTGTGTCTGGGTGAGATACTGTGATGGTCCTATACAGTGGAACCTTGGGTTACAGACGCTTCAGGTTACAGACGCTTCAGGTTACAGACTCCGCTAACCCAGAAATAGTACCTCGGGTTAAGAACTTTGCTTCAGGATGAGAACAGAAATCACGCGGCAGCGGCGGGAGGCCCCATTAGCTAAAGTGGTACCTCAGGTTAAGAACAGTTTCAGGTTAAGAACCGACCTCCAGAACAAATTAAGTTCTTAACCCGAGGTACCACTGCACAGAGCTTTTTTCTGGGGGGACGCAGGGGTACACATACCCCTAAACATTTTGTGAATCTTTGTATTTTTGTCCATTTATTGTATTTATTTTCCCTGATTTGAACTATAAAATGGTGATTTCCTTGAGTCAAAAAGAGAGTACCCCCAAATATATATTTTTTAAGAAAAAAAGCACTGGTCCTATATATAAATTATCTTCCCCTTTGCTTCTTTTCTCCTGCCTTGCTCAGTCAGTTTGACTGAAGTCAGAGACTTCTGTGAGTCTGTAAATCTGAAGGACATTTAGAGAAAACAGGAGAGGCAAACTGGATGTGATCTCTTTGCCCATTGATGCTTGCAGGCTTCCCATTGTGGGCATCCGACTGGCTGCTGTGAGAACAGGATGCTGGACTTAGATGGGCCTTTGTTCTGATCCAGCAGGGTTCTTCTTACATCGCTCTGTCGTTTCCTCGCTTTCATTTTTACCTCCGCAGCCTGTTGCAAAAGAGAAGCGAAAGGATTATGAAGCGGCGAAAGAGAATGAGCGCTGCTACATTTGTAAGGAGGGGGCTCTAAGCTCGGCGGTAGAGCACATGCTTTGTGCCCAGAAAACCCCAGATTATTCCTGGCATCTATAGACAGAACTGGGAACGATGGGAAAGAGTGTGGCCAGTCAGCTTAGGTCAGGAGTGGGGAGCCCCAGGCTAGCGGCCCAAATCCTGCAAGCCTCTCTACCTCTCAGAACATTATCCAGGACAGACCCTTCACTGGCCTTAAAGTGGTACCTCAGGTTACATACGCTTCAGGTTACAGACTCCGCTAACCCAGAAATAGTACCTCGGGTTAAGAACTTTGCTTCAGTATGAGAACAGAAATCGCGCTGCAGCGGGATGCCCATTAGCTAAAGTGATGCTTCAGGTTAAGAACAGTTTCAGGTTAAGAACAGACCTCCAGAACGAATTAAGTTCTTAACCTGAGGTACCACTGTACTTTCTACTATGATAGTATTTTTGCCTGGTTGAAACACACCCTTAAATTCTGAGCATGCCTCTTGCCGCCTTTTTTTTTAATTTACAATTTTTTTATTGATTTTTGCAGTTTACATTTATATTCAAATAATAATAATAATCATACACATAAAGGGTCCCCTGAATCCTTGGACTTTCCTCTGCCCCTTCATGGGTTCCATTTACATTCCCTTTTCCCACTGCATCTTATAGTATTCTCCATTTTCTTCAAATTCCCTATCTTCTCATAGTTCTTGTTACATTACAAGTGTTGTTACAGTCCTGCCAAAGTTTTTAATTGTTTACAATGTTCTCCGAGCTAAGTTATAAATTTCCCCCATTCCTTAGTAAAATTTCTATCTTCTTGATTTCTGATTTCCCAGAAGATGGGGAAAATTTTCGCCATTTCGGCGTAGTCCATCATCTTTATCAGCCATTCTTCTCTGGTCGGGGCTTTATCTTCCTTCCACCTTTGGGCCAAAAGTATCTGTGCTGTCGTTGTCGCATACATAAATAGTATTTTCTGTTCCTTTGGTATCTCTGCACCTAAAATTCCTAATAGAAAAGCTTCTGTTTTCCCCAAAAAACGTTATTTTAAACATTTTTTTCAGCTCAGTATATATCATTCCCCAGAATGCTTTTGTTAATTTGCACATCCACCACATATGGAAGAATGTGCCCTCTTTCTCTTTATATTTCCAACAAATATTTGAAGCAGTTCTATGCATTTTTGCTTATTTAGTAGGTGTTAGATACCAACGGTACATCATTTTCATATACAGTGGTACCTCAGGTTAAGTACTTAATTCGTTCTGGAGGTCCGTACTTAACCTGAAACTGTTCTTAACCTGAAGCACCACTTTAGCTAATGGGGCCTCCCACTGCCACTGTGCCGCCGGAGCACGATCTCTGTTCTCATCCTGAAGCAAAGTTCTTAACCTGAAGCACTATTTCTAGGTTAGCAGAGTATGTAACCTGAAGCGTATGTAACCTGAAGCGTATGTAACCCGAGGTACCACCATAGTTTTCTTTCAACGTACAGCTGTAGATTTTAAATCTTCCCTCCATAACCTTTCCCAAGATGAAAATTTTATATTATGCCCAATATCTTTTGCCTCTGGCTCCACCCACTTTTTGCCTCTGGCTCCACCCACCCCTGACATGTGGCCCTCAGAAGGTTGCCCAGAAGAGAATTTGGCCCTTGGGCTAGAAAATACTGAGCCAGATGGACCAATGGTTTGCCAAAAACGAAGGCGGCTACATCGTCAGGAGAGCAGGGGTCCAGCTCTGTGATGCTTGCAGGGCTATTGCAAAACTAAGGTCCTGAATGGGGTAACTGTGCCCCTGAAGGACCAGGTGCGCAGCCTGGGAGTCATTTTGGACTCACAGCTGTCCATGGAGGCACAGGTTATTTCTGTGTCCAGGGCAGCTGTCTACCAGTTCCATCTGTTACGAAGGCTGAGACCCTACCTGCCCGTGGACTGTCTCTCCAGAGTGGTGCATGCTCTGGTTATCTCCTGCTTGGACTACTGCAATGCACTCTAAGTGGGGCTACCTTTGAAGGTGACCCAGAAACTACAACTAATCCAGAATGCAGCAGCTAGACTGGTGACTGGGAGTGGCCGCTGGGACCATATAACACCAGTTCTGAGAGATCTGCATTGGCTCCCAGTACATTTCCAAGCACAATTCAAAGTGTTGGTGCTGACCTTTAAAGCCCTAAACGGCCTCGGTCCTGTATACCTGAAGGAGCGTCTCCACCCCCATCGTTCAGCCCGGACACTGAGATCCAGCGCTGAGGGCCTTCTGGCGGTTCCCTCATTGCAAGAAGTAAGGTTACAGGGAACCAGACAGAGGGTCTTCTCGGTAGTGGTGCCCGCCCTGTGGAACACCCTCCCTTCAGATGTGAAGGAAATAAGTAGCTATCCTATTTTTAAAAGACATCTGAAGGCAGCCCTGTTCAGGGAAGTTTTTAATATTTAACACTGTATTGTTTTTAATACTTGATTGGGAGCCGCCCAGAGTGACTGGGGAAACTCAGTCAGATGGGAGGGGTATAAATAATAAATTATATTATTATTATTATATTAGGGAAAATCAAGAGAAATAAACAATGAGCAAGAGCCGTAAAGCAAAGAGAACTCAAGTCATGCAGTTGAAAAGTTCTCTGTTCTCCAGGTCAGCTGGAGAATTGCTTTGCTGAAGCTCCCGCCTCCTCCCATCAACGTGATTTTTTCTTTTAAAGCCCTGTTGAGTGGGTCGCACTTGTAAAGGGCCCTGCTGTCAGAACAGATCCATGTCCTCCTCTTCTTCACAGCAGATGCGAGTGGTTGTCTGAATAGATTAGGCTGACTCCCAAGAAGGTGCAGGCAGCCAAGCGAGTGCCTGGCAAGGCTGTGTTTTCCTACCTCGGCTTCTAGAAGGAAGGTATACCGAGAGAGAGCAAAGTGGATGCTTGGGAACCCTGCTGAAAAAGGCTAGAGAAGCGATGGGGAACCTAAAAGTCTTGCGGACATCCAATGGTTGGATGTTGGACAGTTGGACATGTTGGGCAGCTGAAGACAAACAAAAGAAAGCACTTCTTGGACTACTGCAATGTGCTCTATGTGGTGCTACCTTTGAAGGTGACCCGGAAACTACAACTAATATGGCAGCTAAACTGGTGACTGGGGGCAGCCGCCAAGACCATATAACCCCAGTCCTGAAAGACCTACATTTGCTCCCAGTACGTTTCTGAGTACAATTCATAGTGTTGGTGCTGACCTTTAAAGCTCTAAACGGCCTCGGCCCAGTATACCTGAAGGAGCATCTCCACCCCCATCGTTCTGCCCGGACGCTGAGGTCCAGTGCCGAGGGCCTTCTGGCGGTTCTCTCATTGCAAGAAGCAAAGCTACAGGGAACCAGGCAGAGGGCCTTCTCGGTGGTGGCACCCGCCCTGTGGAACGCCCTCCCATCAGATGTCAAAGAGATAAACAGCTACCTGACATTTAGAAGACATCTGAAGGCAGCCCTGTTCAGGGAAGTTTTTAATGTGTGACATTTTAATGTATTTTTAATCTTTGTTGGAAGCCGCCCAGAGCGGCTGGGGAAACCCAGCCAGATGGGTGGGGTACAAATAATAAATTGCTGCTACTATTACTTCTCCACACAGCACATAGTTAAACTATGGAACTTGCTCCCGCAGGGGAAAGCGATGAGCCACCAACTTGTATGGCTTTAAAAGAGGGTTGGACAAATTCGTGAAGGGCTACCAATGGCTACTAAACACGGTAGCTTGGCTTTGTCTCCATGACTGGAGGCAGTAATGCTTCTGAATACCAGTTGCTGGACAACCGAGGATGGGAGAAGGTTCTTGCACTCAAATCCTGCTTGAGAGTTTCCCACAGGCATCTGGTTGGCCACTGTGAGAGCAGAATGCTGGGCTAGATGGGCCATTGGCATTGTGATGGCCTGGGATTCGGACTCGGAGGCTGAACCTGAGGAATCCCAGCCTGCACAGGAGTCCCCACCTCCAGAACCAGCTGAGCCAGGGCTGGGGCCTGAGCCTAAAGGGTCCTCACCTGTGCTGGATCCTCAGGTGCAGGCACCAGCTGAGTCTGCTCTGGCACCTGAGGTGATGGCGGACCCATTGCCTGTAGGTGCTCCACTCTCAGCCCCGTCAGGGGAAGCTGAGGTTGCCTCTGGGTCCGGTAACCCTCCAGCCTTTCCTGAGCTGCAGAGACTCAGGGCAGAGAGACGGAGGGAACTAAGTTCCCGCAGGAGGAGTGCTCACCTCCAGGCCAGGAGAGGCGAGTCACCTGTGGACTGGGGCCGCCCTATGCCTCGGGGCAGATAAAAGCCAGTCAGTCCCAGGTTGCAGGAGCAATGTTGTTGCTAGTCTGTTCCTGCCTGAACTCTGTCCTGCTCTTCTGCCAGAGTTCCTGACCCCACCCGACTCCCCGCCTTGGACCCAGCTACAGCTTTGATGGACTGCCTCCGTACCGCACCATTGACCTCGGACTGGACTCGGACCTCGCCTCTCGTTTAGCCCCCGGGACCAGCACAGCAGGTGTCAATTGAACATTAGGATATGTTTCTTGACAGTAAGAACAGTTGGACTATGGAACCAATTCCCTAGAGTAGGTATGGGGAGCCTGTGGTCCTCTGGATGTTGCTGGACCATAATTCCCATCCTGACTATTGGACGTGCTGGCTGGGGCTGATTGGAGTTCAATAACATGTCAAGAGCTACAGGTTACCCATATACACCCTAGAGGAATAGACTGGCTCTCCCTCACTAGGCTAGATGGCCTTCAAGGTCTCTTTCCAAATTCTGTGATTCTATGAAGATGGTATTTTCTCAGTCCCCCTATCTTACTTAATAATAAAACTGTAAGGCTGTTGTCACGCTGCATTTCGAATAGCCACCAATAGGTGAAGGTTTGAGTGATCTGTGAAGGGATGGGATGGGGGTTTAGGTAATCTGTAAGGGAAGGGAGCACAGTTTGGGCGATCTGTAAGGGGAGGGGTTTGGTGAGATGGAAGGGGGGGTTGACATGGGGGGTAGGCAAGGTTGGCAAGCAATGTGAGCCGAGGCACATCCTCTAGTCTGCAGTGTGGGAATGATACTACAAGTTCAGCGTAAAATGTTGTTTTAAGGATTATTTCCATAATGGATGTAAGATATTTTGAATACTTGATTGTTTAAAAGAGTGTCAAGGATAGTTAACCTAAGAATAAACATTGTTAGATTAAGCATTGTTAGCTGTAAACATTACAGCAAGAACAGGGCATCATCAAGCGGGATTTGAGCTAAACAATTCTCTCAGGAGCATATCCTGCCCCCAGCCTTTTTTTAAAAAAACAAGAAATGCGAATTAGTTTGCATTAAATTGTGAACTGAACTGAATTTCTTACCAACTTTCTGCTCTGAACCAACAGCGAGGACCATTTCCTTCTTGGCTATTTTCCAGCATCTATCTCTAAACATTCTAATTTGCTCCTGCAAAATTAACATGACAGCCTTCTATTAATAGCATTGGATAGAATAGAATCTTATTGAATTAGCCCTTAGGGCGTATCAAAATAACATACATCTAAATGAAGCGTAAAAGTATTCCAGAAACAAAAAACGTCATGTTTTGTTTCTGATGGAACTCAAAATTACATGTGGAAGCAAAACAAAGAGGCGAGGTACAAATCAGAATGGATTTATCGTCCTTAAAACTTTCCCTGCAGTTGTCAAAAACGGGTTCCAAGGATTGTTGCCGGCGAATTTCTACTCAGAGTAGGGTCACTGAAATCAATGGGTCATGCCTATTAATTTCAGTGGGTCTGCTCTGAGTTCGGCTGCAACCCCGGATACATTGGAATGTAGCAACCACAACACACACTGACCTCCAAAATAACAAAGTTAGATTGGGGCCCCAAATGGGGGGCGCATGCCCTCTCCCTCCTTCAGCCCAGCAGCTGCTACTAGATATTTATAAAATTATGCATGGCATGGAGAACGGGGATAGAGAAAAGTTTTCCTCCCTCTCTCATAACATTAGAACTCGGGGACATCCAAAGGAATGTCGGAAGATTTAGGACAGATAACAGAACACAGTGCATAGTCCAACACGAGGCAGTGATGGCCACCAACTTGGACGGCTTTAAAATATTGTTGGACAAATTCCTGGAGGAGGCGGCTGTCCATGGATACTAGTCCTGATGGCTCTGCCCTGCCTCCATAGTTGGAGACCTTGTGCCTTTTGAATAACAGTTGATTGGAATTGCAAGTGGAGAGTTAGGCACACAGCAGACTGGCTTCTTTCAGGGACTCTTTCCTCCTCAGCAGCCCAAACCATTGTTCCCTGGGATCATGTCCAAATCTTTCAACTTACAAGAATAAGAAAAATCTTGGTATATTTCCCGGGGATAAATGAGATGCCTGCGGTCGAAGAGGACGACAGGCTATAAAATAGGCAGTGAAGGGCTCCCGAAACGGAGCCAAACTCTTCAGAACAAAAAACCAGGGGCCGGGAGATGAGACGGGAATTTAGCTGAGGTTAAAACAAGGCCCCATTGGCCCTGTACTTTCAAGAGTGATGGCCTCCGCCAAAGAATTTTGGGAAGTGTCATTTGTTAAGGAGGCCCCTCAGGGGTGGCCTGTGCTGTTCCCGTGGGTTACCCGAGAGGCGAGGGCCAAGTCCGGTCCGTGGTCAAAGGTGCAACGTGGAGGCAGTCCGTAGTAGCTGAAGCTGGGTGCAGGGCAGGGAGTCGGGTGAAGTCAGGAACAGGCATGCAAGCAGGGAGCGAGGGTGGGTCAGGAGCTCAGGCAGGAAAGCAGGACAGGGTTCAGGCAGGAACTAGCAACCACAATGTTGCTCCCGCAACTTGGGACTGGGGCTGGCTGGCTTTTATCTGCCCCAAGACATAGGGCAGCCCCGATCCTCTGGTGACACGCCTCTCCTGGCCTGGAAGTGAGCACTCCTGCTGCGGGAACTTAGTTCCCTCTGCCTCTCTGCCCTGAGCCTCTGCAGCTCAGGAGAGGCTAGAGGGTTACCAGACTCAGAGGCAACCTCAGCTTCCTCTGACGGAGCTGAGAGTGAAGCACCTGCAGGCAATGGGTCCTCCATCACCTCAGGAGCCAGAGCAGACTCAGCTGATGCCTGCACCTGAGGATCCAGCACAGGTGAGGACTCTTCAGGCTCATGCCCCAGCCCCGGCTCAGCTGGTTCTGGAGGCAGGGAATCCTGTGCAGGCTGGGATCCCTCAGGTTCAGCATCCGAGTCCGAATCCCAGGCCATCACATGGCCTGTCCTGTTCTGTTCCAGCGCCTGAGGTGAAACAGGAAGATGAAACAGGAAGGTGTCCCCACCACCGCCCCCAGCTGATATCTCATTTCCTGCCGCTGTGTGGCCCTGGTGGCAGCAGCAATGGCAAGCAGAGTGCCTGTGTGAGCCGCCTTGAGTTATGGGGGCAAAGGCAGGATATAAATTAATGATCATGATGACGCAAAGAGAGCATCAGGAGTCAGGGGTCAGATTCCTTGTCCTGTGACGGCTCCAAACCTGAGGGTGAGGACCTCCCATCCCTATTCCTCAGAGGCCTTGCTACCAGACGAAGCTGGAAGGGCCAGTGCCTAAGGATGTGCCATCTTCTGACTCCACCGTTAGAAGACCCTGAAAGACCTCCTGAGCCTCCAGTGTTCTGTGTACAGATATAGAATCAGGATACCAGCACACCCGGCCTCTGCAGGTCACCTGGAGGGCAGATTTTAATGCTGGGGTATTGTTCTCCTTCTCGGATGTTACGGCAACAAATGACCCGGCTATGTCGGGAAACGTGGCATAAATCGAGGCATGACTGTGTGATGTTTACTCCTTTGGGTGTGCTCCGGCAGCCCTCAAATATGAGGAAGCTGGTGACAGAGACTTCCTGTGACAAACACTGCATTGTGTACAAGGGTAAAGTGATGACAATGAAGGCCAGCTTGGGATAAAAGAGGAGAGAAGGGAAAAGATGGAGTCACAGGCGGCTGCCTGACCTTTTCTGGAAAGGATGGGATTTGCTCCAGAGAGTTGGTGAGCAGACCACCAACATGGATGGGTTAGAGGGGCCCAATAGGATTTTCTCTCTCTCCTTATGTAATTCTCCCAGATTAGGAACCATGATCAGATTCATAACTACTGCTGTATCTTCTTCTCATCCATTATTTCAAGTTATTTTAAATGAAACTTCTTGACCATTGGACCATCCAGGACGGAATTGTCCACCAGGGTGCCCTCCAGATGTTGTTGACTCCAGTTCCCATCATTCCCAGCCAGAATGGCCAATGGCCCAACAACATCTGGAGGGCTACCACATTGCAGGCTGTGCTGGCTGGCACTAGCTCTTTGGGTTTTCAGACTGGTCTCATTCATTGTAGACTTTGGGCTTGGCTTAGGTCTTGATGTGGTTACATTCCCTCCAAAGGATCAGGTACAAAGTTTGGGGGGGTGCTTCTATCACTTGGAGCTCAAGTTGCTTTGGTGACACAAGTCCCTTCCATCGGTTTAGACAAGCGGCTCAGCTACTCCCCGGTCTGGGCAGGGGTAGGCTACACTCTGGTAACCTCCAGGTTAGATTACTGCAGTGCATTATACATGGGGCTGCCTTTGAAGGTTGTACAGAAAATGCAGCTGATGCAGAATTCAGCAGCCAGGTTTCTCACCTGGCAAGACAGTCTTAGCTCCTAACGCCAATCCTGGCCTGACTGTTTACCAGTTAGTTTCTGGGCCCAGTTCAAAGTGCTCCTTTTGACCTATAAAGCCTTATGCGGCTCAGGGCCCCAACACATCAAGGACTGCCTCTCCCCATATGAACCCACCAAGACGCCGGGATCATCACCTAAAGCTATTCTCCATGCACCTCCTCCATGGCAACACAAGAGATGGCCTTTTCAGGGCCGGCTCCCAACTTATGGGATGCTCTCCCCAGGGAGGTTTGCCTACCACTCTCTTTGTCCAGTTTTAGGCACCAGCTGAAAACTTTCCTTTCTACCTGGGCTTTTGGCTCTTCGTTTGAAGGGTATTTAAATAAACAGGAACAGCTGGCAGGCGGCAAAGAGGGAGATCCCCGGCCGCGTCCTGCCTTTATAGGGCAGGCCCCGCCCCCGAGCCAGCCGATTGGCCGGCTAGGGGGTGACGCGGCCAGGAATCCCCCCAATCATGTGGGGCCACTACACGCGTGGGGGTGGGGCGTGAAGCCTGCAACCCCACCTCCTCCTTAGTGCGGAAGTGGCCTTATGGACTCATTTGCCGGGAAGGATATGCTAAGCCTATTTCTATAGCTGTTGGCTTCCCCCTGGGTTTTTTTAATTGCTTGTCTTTATTGTAATTGGTTTTAGTGTTTCTCTTGTGTTTGCAAGTCCCTTTGAGTCATGTATAAATTAAAACCTATAAGAATAGCTGTAGACCGTAAGTGTCAGAATCCACTGAAATCCTTTTATGGCTGTAACAGAGCAGACCCAGTGGATATTATGGACATAACTACCTTGGGTCCATTAATTTCAACGAGGGACTGTGGTAGTGGAGTCAGAGACGGGTTGATGAGATAGTGCTCCCTTCACCCTAATGGACCAGCCTCTGCAGATTCCATATGGTGGTATAGATCTTATCGATGACCACACTGCAGTTTTCCGATGTGATTGGCTAATGTGTGGCCAATAAGCAAGTCTCCCAAGGATTAGGATGGGAAGGGAGCGGCAGGATGTCACATAGAAGAAGAAGAAGAAGAAGAGTTTGGATTTGATATCCCGCTTTATCACTACCCGAAGGAGTCTCTTCTTCTTCTTCACAGACCAGGAAAAAGTAAAAACCATATGGATAAAATACAGAAAGCTAAAACACATAAAATATAAGAGTTAAAATGTAATTCAACTAGGACAGAACAGAAGAAGAGTTTGGATTTGATATCCCGCTTTATCACTACCCGAAGGAGTCTCAAAGCGCCTAACATTCTCCTTTCCCTTCCTCCCCCACAACAAACACTCTGTGTGGTGAGTGGGACTGAGAGACTTCAGAGAAGTGTGACTAGCCAGCAGCTAGTGTCACCCAGCAGCTAGTGTCACCAGCAGCTGCATGTGGAGGAGCGGAGACGTGAACCCGGTTCACCAGATTACGAGTCTACCGCTCTTAACCACTACAGCACACTGGCTCTCATATCTCTCACATATCTTCCGAATCTCTTTGGTTCCATGATATGGACAAATAAGGGCCTTTAATATCCCAGGGCTGGTTTTTTTTTTTAAACCAAGAGAGCAGAGGGCACAAGGGCACATCCCAATTTAGCCAACAAAACAACCTACACCTTAGAAATCTTTCTTTTCGCCAGCCAGATTAAATATTGACTCAGGCTGGATGAGGCCCAGCTGCAGCCGGTTCATTTAGCCCCAACCCAACCCCTGAGGGATGAAATTGGCGGGTCGCAACCTTCTTGCAAAAAGTGACCTTTACATTTTTCCTTCTGTTTTTTTTT